CATCGAAAAAAATTTTATAGGTATGTATTGTATATGAAAATGGAAAATTATTATACCCTAAACAATTTGTACTTATGAAGATGAATGAATGAATGAAAAAATGAATGAGAAAAAATGTGTTTGTACAAATATTGGATTAAACCCCCACGCGATATTCAACGCTAATTTTTATTTGTTTATATATTTGGGTATAACATATTCGTTTTTAATATTTATTTATTATTTATTTTACGGATTTATTACAATTCACTTAGAAAAAAATAACATGTTAACATGTACATTGCTTCAACAAATTGACACAAGAAGGTGTTGTTTCCCGTGGATTATTATTATTTTATTTATTACCTATTATTTTACTATATTAAATTCTATTTTTTTTATTTTACATGCATATTATTAAATGTTATTATATATTCTGTTTATTAATATTTGACATATCAAGTTGGTATATTTCAAGTTGTTCAGGAACGGATGATAGACAACCTGGATGTTGGCCAAGTTCAGCTATAATTTGAATATTGACGACATATATTAGATTCTAAAACGAATACTAATTATAAAAACATAACAAAAGTGGTTAACGGCACTGGTGGTCGATTTTCGTTGTTAGCCCAGAACGACAGTTGAACGGCAAAATCAACTATACAGTATTTCGCATATAATGTCATACACACATGGAAACTGATAAAGTAAAAATTAAACCAGTAAAATATTAATTTAAATTATACGGACCATTTAAGAATATTATTGCAGCCAGCATAGCAGAAAGTCATGACCAACGTATTATAGTAACTTTAGAAGATCCTTATCTTTCGACTCACTTTAACTCTTTTGCACAAATTCACCTTCAGTTGTAGAATAAGTACGATTTTCAGCTTACTGTGCCTTTAAAAATTTATTGCTCAAAATTTTCACACCATCAAAATGGCCTTATTAAACTTTTACGCTATCAATTTTCAATATTTAATTACATAATAGTCTTTTCGGTTTTATTTAAAATTATTTTAAATTAATCTTGTGACTTTAAGTTTTTTTGTTATAATTCTTTATGAAAATTCAATCTTCGTTAAAGGTTTATAAAAATTTGAATATTTAAAACAATTTAAGTATTTAAGCACAAAAATTTACTTGGCTTTTTTTTTCTCTATTATTGTATTTATTGCGATCATTTGAGCTCGAATTATTATTCTGTATTTTAAATATCGTTTCTGGTCTTGTATTTGCGTATAACTTTTCATTACCAAGTTTTCTTTTGGAAATTTGTTCATAGCTTTCACTACTACTATTATATAAAATTTTAACTTTCTTTTCATTCTGTTTCTGCCTCAATAGTTTTATTTTTGCTTTTTGTGTACTTGCTGATGGTAATATATTACATCATCATAATTCGAAGCAATAAATTCACTTTCAATTAAATTCAGTTCAATTGTAAACAGAACTCAAATATCTAATTTAACCAAATTCCGTCAATTACTTCCTTAAATATATTAAAAAATATAAACTTGACCGTTAGTTCGGTTCCCAGTCTCTGACATTTTCTTAAATTTTACATTTTCATTGTTTTGACGCCCTGAGTTTATATATAATAAAGTTAAAGAAAATCGGTTGATTATTTCTTTTTCTATGTGCAAGAAAGTTAATTTAAGCCATAGTTAACATCAAGCTGCAGGTACCTGATTTCTTCTATAAGTTAAACGGTTTCTTGCAAGCTTATATATAATATTTCACGAAAATACGCTAATTATTTTCTTAGATATAGTTGAAGATATAAAATTGGCGCGTAATAAAGATTCAGTTGCGGAGAGCTGATATGTCCCAGGAATTGATTAAACTGTTTCATTCCCGAAAATTCATATCTCAAAATATTCAGATATGAATTTTCCTAAAATTCGGTTGGACTGAACTTGAGATATTGATCTGCACAGACAAACTGACAAACGGATAAATAGACAGAAAAACCGACAGATATCCTTCCAGCAATAGTCTTATTACGCTTCCCTAGAATGGAGAAATGTATTTCCGCCGAAAACTCCACATGTGAAAGTTGGTGCCATCACATAACCTCCCTTATTGTATATATAGAAGCATTAGTAAAATGAAAAAAATCCAATAATATAACACGTACAAAAATTGAAATTCATGGTAATATATAACAGTTATATTCTTAATATTTATTTTGCTCTATTTTCGAAACGATGGTAAAATCATAAAATTTGAGGGAGCTCGGATACAAATATAAGAGGTGAGTTACTTTTCGAGTTTATCTTGAATCCAACTTTACACAGTGTATTAAAGGCTCACGGTTTATGTTCTTTACCAAAAATCGGTAGAAGTTTATATATAACCCTTGCCTCACAAATTATGGTTGGTTTCAAATTGAAAACCATCGCAAAAACATCTCTTTCTTGACCATCGTTATATAGAATTTGAATTCGTTGTGGGACAGAATACTCACTTAATTTTCAGGAACCACAGGCGAACTGATTGATCAAAAATTGAAGATTCAGTAAGCGTTCTCTTAGGACCCGAGGTCCATTTTATGTGACGTTTTTAGTGTTTTTTTTATACGGTTTTTTCCACCTTCCCCTGAAACTTATTTTGGTTTGCCATGGTTCAATCGATTTATACAAATGTATATCATACAAATAAAATTACAGAAATATATTCCGAGAAATAAAAAAACTTTTATAAACTTGCTTTTCATTGAATTGTTTTCGCAATATGTGCATATGAAGCTTCAATTTACATAAGCTTTCATTTTATGATATTGGAAATGGTTGATTTTAACCAAATTTAGCAATTATCCGTGTTGACTCCATATATATGAAGAAAATAGAGATAAACTTTTAAATGATATGTTCATAGTAAATATTTTATATGATATGTTCATAGTAAATATTGTAGCGAGCTCTCGGGTCCTACGTTTAAGATATTTACGTAGTAATGAATGTAAAGTGAAATGTTATTAAAAACCCAATTTTATAAATTTTTCTATGAATTTGTTTGTATTTACAATGAGGCTTATTTTTATATGAAAATAATTATTGGACCATAACTTTGTTGCGTGCTCTTCGAATATTAATTGATTACATCTCTAAATTTTTGATATATTTTTATTATTTACATGATAGTCATATTCGTATTTTAAAAATTTGTTATTACTAATTGCTTAAAAAAGGAACATAGCTCCCAAAAAAATTTTATTTTTATTGACATATGTAAATGTATATTTATGAACTGGCCTACGTACAAATAATATAATGATTAGTGATTACTCTGTTAAATAAATTTTCCATTTTTCTTCAGGCTTCATTAATCGTTTAATTTATAAAAAAAACGATTCGTTACACATGTTAACACAAGTAATATGTTGACACAAACATAAATACATAAAGACTACGGAACTATACGTAACTTATACCTTCTTTCGGATATGATTACTTCTTCTGAGATTACCAGAGAGTAAAATTATAATTTTTATTTAAATACGGTCCCTGATTTCATAATTATTACACGAATAAAAGTTTTTTTCGTGAATGTGTGTATGTCTCAAAATTATGTAAGTTTTTTGGTCTCATTTTTGAGTTGTGCATTATTTATATATTTTAGTATGATTTGCAATCTGATTAAATTGTGAGGACATATTAGTTATCAAATAAAAAATTTTTTATTACTTTATTAAAAATATTTTTAATATACGGAAATATTTTAATTTTTTTTTTAATTATACCTTATTATATTTTTGGGAATATCAACACATGAAGCAAAATAAAGCGGTAAGTACAAAAAAGAAATAAGACAAATAATAGTAAATAACAGAAGGGCGTAACTTTCTCGATTTTTTCTGAACGTATGTATTTATATAAAATTTTTGATAATGTTTAAACAAGTATAGTGGTTTTATTTAGGCACAATAAGCAAATGATTTGTTCAAATATTTTAAAGCAAATTTTGAATTGCGCATTGCAACCGCCTCAAAATTTAAAAAAATACTTGTAGTAACAAAAATCCTGTTTAAAAAGTTCAGAATTTCAGAAAAGTATACTGTAACTTTAAAATTGCATTCACTTAATATTATTATACAATTCAGCAATTACAACGTGTAATTTGAATTATGTGTTGATACTGTGTTTCTGGAATTTGTAAGTCAAGATGTTTAGTTAGGTTTGTTTAACAAGTAACTGTTAAGTAAACCAAGTAACATACATGTTCATACACTCCAATTCAATTTTTGTTTAAGAAATTTTCGATACTTCGTAACATACATATATCGGGAATTTTTTTTTTAATTTTGTTTTTAGTTAAAATTGGCAAAATAGTTATGCTTTTAACTATTTTCACCTTTTATAATTTTAATATTTATGAACCAAATAAAGTTTTAAATTTAAAAATCCTAACATTAAATGTGATATGCTTTAAGTTTTTATAATTTTTATTAGATTTTGTTATCTAAGCAAAAGTGAGTGATTATGTAAATATTAAAGTACTCACAAAACACAGTCAAATGGAATAGTTTCCACAATAATAAACTAAATTTATGAAAATTTAATTATTTCACAACTTCATTTCAAGTTTCATTCCAAAACTTGGTGAAAATCAAAAGTCAAAGTTAATAAGAATCGATTCCAAAATTACTCGCTGGTTTACCAATAACAAGACTTATTGTATGGTTATTAACATATTCTACAATATGTTGCTACTACAAAAATCATATTTCATTTATACTTTGAATTTCTATATACGAAAATCACTTTATTTAAAGTGACATGCTTCATGTTAAATCAAATTTCTCTATTCAAAAAAATAATCAAATTTCTCTATTCGCAGACAGATAAATTCAATATAATGCTGAAAAAAATTCAATTAATTTATCAAATGCTTATTAATTTACCATAAAACAAAATTCTTCTGAAAATCTCAATTCAATTCTAAAAAGCTCACGAATCCGATTCCAAGCAATCATAATATAAAATTACAAAAGTATATATTTTTTTTTAATTTTATTTAATTTGCCATTGATATACTACCCTTAAGGTTGAAAGTAATGGAGCTTCAAAAAATATATGCAATATAAAAGCGAAAATGTAAGTTGTTATCGTGAATCCAATAAACATCATTATCTAAAATGAAATTATTTTGAATTTTGAATATCTTTTATTTTGAAAAACCTTACGACTAATCCACCAGAAAGTAAAATTCCTGTTTCTCCACTTAGCAAAACTGTTCGGATTATTAAAGGGTTCAGTAATATAACAGTATTTGTAAATTTTCCAATAGTAAATAATAACTTAGAGTTAAGAAAATCTTTCAACAACCCTATTACACAAACGTATAATTATTGTTAAAAAAACATTATTAAAAAGATTTAATTTAAAATTACCTCCATAATCTGAAAGGCTTGATAGTGTTATCCAACATAGAATCATATTCCATGCTATATGTAACATTGTAATTGCCGATGCTCTAACCCATAAATTAATGCGCCCAATAATTAATGGTAATCCAAAAAAATAAACTCCAATAATTAAAATGCACAGCATCCAACCTAAAAAGTTTTTAAAAATTTTCATTTTTAATATAAAAATAATCAAATATAGTTAATTTTATAATTTACCAAATACCATTACTGTTTTGCTAGATTTGAATTTTCCACCAGTTTTTTGAATTGTGTATCCCAAGCACATACCAAGCAAATATGGTAGAATTCGTAACCATATATTATCAAATAAGAGATTCAATTTTAAACAGATTTTTTGTTGAGATTCTCTAAAAAATTTAGATAATTTTAATTCATTATAAAGTATTATAAATCGTCTTTAAAAGCAAAACCTAATTTTGCTTTAGCTTAGCACCCATACCTTTCATAATACAACGAAAATGGATCTGATTCTAGCATTAAAAATGCTATTATTGAAAATATCAGCAGAGTAAAAAATATTGATGCTGCATATTTTGGATGTATTTGTGCTAAAAGTAAAATTAGAGAACCTGCTAAGAAAAATTGAACTTCTAAGGATATTAGCCATGACCAAATCATACACTATAAATACAAACATAAAACAGAGAAAAAAAATATCAAAAATACGAGTATTTTATCTTTATTATTTTTTAAATGTAAAATTTTCTTACTCTTTCTTCCATCGGAAAAAATGTATCAATAAAGAGGATATTTTTCCATTTATGTAAATCACAATTCATAAAATCTTTGGATGGTATTTCCAAAATCATAGTGTCATGAAAGTATTTTGATAATAACTCCAGTGACAGTAGTATTACCGTGTAAGTAAGTATTAAACTAAAAAAATATATTGCATATTTATAGTAAAGCATGAGTGTACTTTGTATTGCAGTTATATAGATGTAAAGCTATTTAGAAAATTTTTGTGTCAAATATTTTTTTGCATATATTTAGGATGAATGTTTTCTTTTGGCTATTATTTTTTGTTAATATTAATTTAAAGTCAGTGTTGGGAAATGAATAAAAAATGTTCTTTTTTTAATTGGGGTTGTAATGAGTGTATAAAAGGGGTTTCAAAATGACATTTATTTTGGCTCCCGCAAATTTTTTCCAAACTTCACAAAGTTAGTGGCAAATTAAAAGTTTAAATTGAAATTTCAATTTCAATAGTAATTACAGTATGAGAAAAATGATTTCATTTTATGTACTATTTTAGGCTTTCTTGATTGAATTGAAGATACTAGTAGATACCCAAGACAATTTTAGGAGACAATTTTAGGAGATAAAACGATTTATTAAACTTTATAGCATATGACGTTGTTCACATATCGTCGGTATTATGGAAGAGATACGAAACTGCTTTTTTTATGTTTCGAGAAAAACGCACTTGAAAATATACACAATAATGTCAATTTGTATAGACGTGTCAAATTTACAACGTAATAACGTTTCGGAAAAATTTGTCCGAAAATACTAACATTAGAGTTACGTGAGATTTTTATAAAAATAAGAGTTTAGAAGCTTCTGAATTTTATAAATTAGTGAGTTCCGAGAATTCTTTATGTTTCACTTTGATTTTTTTTCAAAAATTTTGTATGTTGATTTACGATATGAGATAGGCAACCCTATCGATTAAAATTATCTTACCTGCAGATTTTATACGCTATTATGCCAACAAAATGTATTAGTTGCTCAAAGACATGAGGCGATTCTATTTTATGGCCAGTCTTGTAATATAAATATGATAAGCTGGTACCACTGTAATATTGTAGAAACGCATTAATGTAATAATAACAAATTTAGAACTAAATAGGATTATATACATATATAAATATAGATTACAACATAATTGCATTTAGTGTATACCTCAAAAAGAAAAACATATCTATAAAATATGTTGTACGGTTTCGTATATATCCAATAAATTCCAATATGATAGAGAACTGTTCTGGATCATAATTATTTGACAAAATGTCCATATGGTTATAGGTGTTAACTAGAATTATTACTATTGCACATAAAGCTTGTAAACTACGGATAATAATCAATTCTTCTTCTTCAAAACTCGCTCTCGGCAAATTTTTTATTATTTTTTTTAAAGAAAAGCATTGAAGTAGCTCTTTGATCAATGACTGGTGTTCATTTTTAAATGATTTAATCGGTTTTTCTGGAAATATTGTATTTGTAAATATTATATTTATAATATTTGAGAAATATTATTGTATATGAAATCGTACAATAAAATCACTCAATGATTTGCTAATGAGAAGATTGTGTCTATCTCTAAAAACAGTTTGGCTCATTTGGATTAATTTATTTTTTAATATCTTACCAATTTCACCGTTCTCTGTTATAATGTCCAAAGTAATTGTTGATAAATCCTTTCCTTTGATTTTTTTCACTTTAACTAAATTAACATAATCTTTGCAATTAACATTGTTAATTGTCATTCTAATATCATTCAATGGGGTTTGTTTAAAATTTTTTGATGAACTCATATCATAATCACTTAGTTTCTTAAATTGTTCCATAGCATGTTCTAAACCAATATTTTTTAGTGTTTTAATATGTTTTGTGCCCCTCGCAGAACGTATTGTTGTTGCCTTTAAAACCGATTTTAATCTTTTAATTGTTGAAGTTGTATCTTTGTCATACACAACAATCCAATGATTACACAATATTGTCATAAAGAATAATGTTAGTACGGATCCTATTAGTGTCCTTTATAATTAAATTATAAAAAAATAATTATTATACACTCAATAAATTTACAAAAATTTCTATTTAAACAAAAGTATATATGTATATACCCACATTAAAACATAGAAGCTCACATCATCTGTAAATTCGTAAGTTTCAGTTATTGAACGGGAACTAGTATATGTTATATTATTTACTATAGAATCTGGTAAAATTATTATTGCAGGTAATATCTGATCTAAATCAATTGAATTACAGGTTCGTGGAAAACATATCATTTGATGAATTTCATGTATATTATTAAAATCTGTAGAAAATTCTATATTATATTTGGCTAATACTAATTTTACTGGAAATGGTATTGTCGTCATATTAGACTTTAAATTCCAATGTTGTGTCATAGAATTGAGATGTTGTTTATATAGATTGCGACAAATATTTGGATTATGTATTCTATAATTATAGCCGCCATATTGTCCACCCGAATAATATGAATTGGCATCATATACTAAAAAAGAAAGTAGAAAAAAACTTTTTCATATAAAAGAGGCAAAAAAGAAATAAAATTAAAATGAATTACTTAGATTTAAAATATCGATTTTTTTGTTTAAAAATTTGACATTGGTATTTATGAGTTTTCGAATGGTTTGATTTTTTGAAAAATATTTTTATTGTTCATTCTTTAAACCAAAACTTTTCGTGAATCGAAGACTATATTCTAAAATATTATCAAAACTTTTCTGAAATAAAAATCTGTAGTCTAATAAGGATTGTGAGGACATGATATTAGACCTGATGAGTTATTGATATTTGATAAATCGAAAGCAGGTCGAATTTATGTTACTCTTTTTGGAGTAACATATTGTAGTATAGTAAAATACAGACATATTGGAACAACAGTTCCAAATCTGTGTTTCGATACAATACAAAGCTATGAAGATTTTATAATATTTCTGATACGATTTAAGATGTAGTATCAAATTTTGTACTAAGATTTTTTTTTACAAGAAAATAGCAAATTTTATGTAATAAAAATTTAAATACATCACAGGAAATGCAAATAAAGGCTATGAATGAACTTGTCAAACCAATATCTTGGAAGAATTTAATTGAGGTTATATTTTAAAAGTACAAATCAATAACTTTTGTTAATAATAATCTTATATATCTCAAAGTTCATGTTCATACCAACAAATGTGTAGAAGGTGCTATTATTATTAAAACTATTAAATAATTACATTACATAATTAAAATATTAATCTTATTTAAAGTAATAATCTTATGAATGTGTAAATTGTACGTACATATAGCGTACACATACGTACAACTACATAAAGCGAAATTCCAACTTTAAATTTTACACACTTTACGCTAAGACCGGTTAAATTTTTTTTAAAGAAATTGTTTTAGTTTTTCTTCCTGATTTTCTTGTGTTTTTTATGTACATAATGTACAAGAAAACATAAATTCATACATGCATTTGTACATTCATACAGTTTTTATACTTGGAAAATTGTAATAATTTTCCATTGAATAATGAGGTTGCTTGAAAACAGTAAGTGTATAAGAAAAACAATAATTTGAAAATTTAAAATATCTTTTATTTTTTCCATTTAAAATTCAATTTGAAAATGAAAAGTTATGTATAAAATATTAAGTATACTCGTACGAGAAAATCGTACAACAAAAAAAAAAAAAAATCAAAAATTAATCTGAAACTATTTTCTCTGTCTTATAACTGACACTGATCAACCATCACATAATATTTAAAGTTCAAGTTCGTGACAAGTGTTAAGAAAATGCGTTTGAGTGGTATTGAAAAAATTAATTTGCGTTCATAAATCTCCAAATAAAAACTCATTACGGAAAATTTAAAATCGTAGATTTTGAATTTGAATGAATTAAGAGGAAATTTCTTCCACCTATACATACTCGTAGTTTGTTATAAGAAACTCTCAAGAGTTCAAACACGTGCTAAAACAGTTTGGAAGGCTACTGGGTTTGTGTGTTGTTAATGCATTAGTTATGTCTATCACATATCTATATATTATGTATATCATACGTACACGTATATTTATATATATAGAAATTTTCTATATATATATATATATAGAATTCTGAAACACGCGAAAAATAATAACTTCTAAAGATCACATGATATTAGGAGCACATAAGCGTAATTAAGAAATAAGATTTCTAAATTATATAAAGTACATTTTTTTCTAAGACAAGATCTTTACCGATTTTTAAATAAATTAAATGGCTACTTCTACGTATTATTAATAGAGTTCCTTTGATAATTGTGTCCTAATATGAGAAAGATCATAATTCTTTCTTATATTTTAAAATTTTTAATAATATTCACTTTTAGTTTTCCAATTTACTCAGAGATGTTATAGAGCAGTGATGAGCAACCTTTTTTTAAATTGGGCTAAATGAGAAAAAGCAATCGTTTCCCGGGCTGCAGTTATAGCAAATTTATTTTCTAATTTCAGTAATAAGCAATTTCAAGGCATTTTGTTATTTTTAAACTGTTATATTAAAAGCCGCTGGTTGCTCATCACTGTTATAGAGCATCGGCAATAGATTGTCATATTGATTTTCATTCCAAAAAAATAAAATCTGATGTGTACAGCACAATAATCGAAAAATGTGTATTTTTTAAATAATTTAAATTATATTAAATAAATAAGACTTAAATGTATTTTCAATTTTCTAGCCCTTACATTTCTGATAAATTCATTGCTTGAACAATCAATATCGAAATTGAAAATTCCAAAAAAAAAATCGTTTAAATCCTTGCATATAGACAAACATTTAAATCTTGCTTATTGTAATAGAAGTCTAATTACACAACATAGTTGGGCACTACGTATACATAAACTTTATAAAGAAAATAATATAATTATACTAGAAATATTAATAAAAACCTAAAATCGGCTCATATTAAAGGTTCAATTGCTAAGTTCCAAAATACCTTAAAAATTGATTAATCCTTCACATGGCTGAAAAATAAATTCGGATAAGAATTTTGATTAAAATTGGTTCTACCACAATTAAAATTGACGAGACAAGACGAGTAGGA